AGCAGCCGTACACAATATATATATATATATATATATATATATATATATATATATATATATATATATATATATATATATATATATATATATATAAAGTATCGCTTCTTCTTTCTGTACCAAATTCTGTCTACATATTACGTTAAGGCGGTTGTGTAAGGTATTTGACGCTCAGTAATATTAGTGCAATTTTTCTACCACATACGCCTCCAAATATTTAACCAAAATTTGTTATTTATGCATTTTTTCTATAGCAATACCGCGTTTTGTATGAATATTTGGGCAATGAATACTTACTCCACAAAAGCCTTATATTTAGCGGTAACAATATTTTTAGACCTCGAGCACGACACCCTACCCACCAATCTACCCCGACTATGCTCGAACGTACGCATTTTCTATCATGCTCTTTTTGTATGTGGCACACAGCGCGATGAACAAAAACCAGGCAAACAAAAGGAAGCAAAAGCGAGATTAAGTAAGAAAACAACGCACTAGCAGCCTAAGTATTCATTTTGCTTCCATGTCTGCATTTTCGTTAGCATTTCATTTCGCCTAAAGCGCTGGAAAGGCTTCAAAGTTCGGTACTCTGACTAGCCCAGCCGGCTGTTTTCAGAGCACCCTATAAAACCATACCTGTTTATTTGGCGGTGCTGCCGATTACACGAGCACTCTGACGTGCCCATCAGGTGTTAGGCTTTATTATTACTTTTTTTTTTCGCTTCAATCGCCGTGCACTATGCTTTCGTATGTTTTCATTTTCCCTTAAGTCCGTGCATACGCACGCGGCTGCTATAATCAACCTTGCACGCTGTAATGTGCTAGGCACGACTCTCTTCGTGCACCTTTAGTAAGAGGCCGGGCCTTCCAAACAGCTCATCAATCGTGACCACTTACGACGAGCACGCCCGCCAGTGCTGGTGATGGCAGTGGTGGCCGAATGCACACGCGCACTAGATAAAAATTAAAGAATAAATAAAAATGAACGACTTACAACTACACAGGCGGCGGACCAATCCATCGCATCGAGATGAAAAACACAGCACCCACAAGGTTCCACTGGGCCGCATTTGCATAATAAGCATATCCGCGCGCATTCTCGGCACGCGCTATATAAGTTCACGGTGCTGAATTCTATATTCGCGTTTCAACAGCCCCGTGGCAGAAATCGTGATCGTCGTCATCGGGTGTCAGCACATACCCTGCAGACGCACAGATAACTCGACATCGTTAAGCAGAACGACAGACAGCGACCAAAACAAAGCGAAATGACATATGGAGTCGATATTCGAAAGTGTCATATGTGAATGACCTTTGGTTTAAGTGAGAGCGTCCTGATATTAGTTCGCTCGTGGGCCTTTCACCTTCATGGCAATACGCATTACCCATCCAGTCTGTATGCTCTTTTCGAGCCATCAGAGTTTCCCAAATCTAGCTAGAGGAGACTATGGCGCTGCGATCGTTCAGCGACCCCGAGGATGATGGTATAGTACATGGATTCGCCTACTCTTCGCACTTGCGGGCCTCGAATCGGACTTGTGGCCTCGTTTATTGCAGTGTTTCGGTTTTGTTTCAAACGAAAGAACAAACCGCTTTGAACTTCGTGACATTATTCCAATAGGTGAGCCTAACGGATTACTGTGGCGACGCGTAATTGATAAATTATTGCCGATTGTGATTCCATGATAAAACAGCTTCAAGCCATGCGAAGCCGAACGGAACGTAAAGTACGAAGATTATGCGAATCCATGTACTACTCATAATTACCATGCTCGTTCAAGCGCCATGCGTTGCAAATCCCATAGACACTAGCGCCAGAGTTCCCTCTATGAAAACTCTACGATTCAAACGAATGGGAAGTCTGCCACATCTATTGCAATGGCGTCTGCTTCTCATTTTCGCACTGCTCAGGAGAGCAGAGTTGTTCCGTTCTTTGTCAGGATATGCTCGTACAACAAGGAATGCATAATTAGGCATCTAAAACGAAGCTACAGGCGCAAGCATGCACCCTGTCAACGCAGCCATAGTCTTCTCTGCAGAGCGGCGGCTAACCCCTTAAGAACGCAGTGCCGAGACTGCGACGTCAGCTTTTGTACTTCCGTGCAACAGTCCAGGTGACCCTTCTCTCCTTTGCATCAAGACGCATTCGTTGCTTCACACCCCTCCGTGCCCAATACAAAAGGGAAGTGTACAAGCCACTCCGTCCCTTTGCTAAGTAAAGGCCTGACCACCCGTTGCAGCGCGTGGAGCATGTGGGCGCGGCGCCCCTTCAGAAAGTCACGCGCTGCGACGGGTGCGGGTGCTCAGGCCTTAAAAAGTGCGCCGACCTCGATAATGTCTGGGGATTAACACTCCAAAAGCACGATATGATTATTAGAGACGCCATGCGGGAGATGCTCCAGAAATTCCGACAACTTGGAGTTCTTTCATCATCATCATCATCAGCCTGACTACGTCCACTGCAGGACAAAGGCCTCTCCCATGTTCCGCCAGTTAACTCGATCCTGTGCTTGCTGCTGCCAATTTACACCCGCAAACTTCTTAATCTCATCTGCCCACCTAACTTTTTTCTCCCCCAACCCGCTTGCCTTCTCTGGGAATCTCTCTCTCTCTCGACCCCTGGGAATCCAGTTAGTTACCCTTAATGACCAGCGGTTATCCCTGTCTACGCGCTACATGCCCGGTTCTTTAACATGCACCTAAACCTAAGTTTCACCTCCATTTCCACCTTCATCGAATACGCAGCCACCGTGGTTGGGATACGCCTTTACAATCCCTCCCAACTCCAGCCGGTGACTGCAGCACCACAGCGAGTCATGGAGCGAACCACATTCGCAGGGAATAATATCGCAACTAAACAAACCACCGCACAACACCAAAATAGAGGAAGCGCTGACTGCACCACACACAAAACTAACAAAACAGTATGCGCAGAGATGTCCGCGCACCGCTAGGGACCAAAGCGACTAGGGATGTTCGCGCGTTTCGGTGCCTAGGCCGCGCGCGGTCGGCAGAAAAGCACCTAGCGCTTAGGCGGTCGTATTAGTCCGCGCCGCGACTCGACGTGGCGCTGCAGTCCCCGGCTGGAGTTGGGAGGGATTGTAAAGGCGCGGCCGGGATTCGATCCCGCGACCTTCAGGTTAGCAGTGCAGTATCATTACCACTGGGCCACCACAGCAGGGCAACTGCAAGTTTGCGTCGTCAATGAATTTTATGAATGGTGGTTCCTGGGATAGTAAACCGTTTTTCCCGGTTACCACGCTTTCTTCGTTTGTCGTGCACTGTTTTACAGCATTCTAAGCTTCTTTTCTAAGCGCCGCTCTTAAAACTTAAGTGCTGTTGATTTCACGTGACCTGTCTTCTTGCACTCTGTTTTTTGGCGGCTTTTTGCATGTTTATTTTTTTTCTCCTTTTCGCAAATGGTGGGTCATCAACCAGAAACCACGGCTTATTTTGAATAAGCCAAACAATAATAACTCAAGTGTTTCTTTGAATTCCGTCTGCTACAGCTCTGTGGGTTAAAAAAGGTACACAGTAACTATGCAGTGTCTGCATGAGAATTGAGAATTCCTTCATCTAATGAACGCGCGACACGATCAGCATAGGATAAATAAGCAGCGGAGCAAGCACTTCTAAAAAAACGCCGGGCCTGCGCGGAAGGCAAAGCACATTCACAGCGAAAGCTGGAAGAGTGTCCTTTCTGAGCCTTTTCTAAGCACTCTTTGGGTAAATGCTAGAAGTACACTAGCTGGGTACCCATTGCGCCATCAATAATGATAACTTCAGAGCAGTAGGCCGACATTCGCTATGCTATCCAATCAACTGCTCCGGTCGGCCGGAGTTAAATATGTGTTAAAAGTACTCCGGCTTCGCCACGCAATTCCTCCGGCCAGTCGGAGTGAAAACTTTGCGCCGAAGGTACACAGAAAAAATTACTCCGAAAGAAGGGATGATAGAGGTCAGGCATTTTACTCCCACCGCGGAGTTTCACAGTGTAAAGTTGTAAAGGTAGCATGTTCGCTTTCAGCACTATCACCCGTGTCCCTTTCTGTTATCTACCATCTTCGCCGTTTTCGTGCTGTACCCAAACATGTTTAAAGGGGCCCTGATACACTTTTTGACCATGGTCAGGAGATGCTGACGTTATGTGTTGTTTTTGTAGGATTTCATTCTTTGCTTTCAGTGCGTGCATGCATACCATACCGAATATGCTGTATGATGGAAAACATATAGCAATAATAATGTCCGTACAATTTTGTTGTCTGACATTTGATGAACATTGTATGATGCAGGTCATACACAAGAAGGAATTTTTGTATACATCTTCCCTGGTAGTTCGTCATTATTTTTTTCGCGATAGTGGTATTATGGTTGTTGGACTTTCCTGTTTTTTTTTTTTTGATGAACGAACATCCACCCGAACGGGGTGAGTGTCAAAGAAGAGAACAGCGTCGGAAGGTATTCGTCGCTTCCTATGCTCTATTTGAACGACACTACTCCCGCATTCCTTACGTATGTTACTGGTTATGCTTTTTTTTTAACAGAACAAGTTCCACCACATTTTTCGCGTTCGGCGGGTCCATTATTCACTCCGCACATCTCTCAGCCGTCGAAACGCGCGCACCGGAACAAGCGTTGCACGCGCTGCAGACAGCGACGGCTGCATCTTTCTTTCGGCCCCAAAATGTCGGCTCCCGGAAGTCGCAAGTGCTGAAATGCGAGTTGGACACTCCCCTCTCTTTCTAGTCTTACTTTTTCGCTACTTTTTGTTCGTTTTTTTTCTCCCTGCTGCCTTTGGTATGTTCGCCGCGCCCTCTTAAGCATGCAGACTTGCATTTCCTCCTTCATCGTCGCTTTCACCGAAACACTCCAGCGATACACACGAAAGGGTGCCAGCGTATACTTGTAAGGCCCAGTAGGGACATCTAAAAGTCAGAAAAAAATAAAGCAAAATAAAACTAAATAACGCGTGCACACAGCTATAGACAAATTCGAAAACTCACCTGAGCTTCCGAAAACACTTCGGCCGGAGAGAACGTCTTCTGGTCGGCGCCGTCTGCAAAGATGAAAAAAAAAAAAGAAAAGACGAACGTTAAACAAAAAAAGAAAACAGACGCCCAGTAAATAGAAACGCAGACGTTGAGGGTAGCGAAAAGCGCAGATGACACAAGGCGCGCTGCTAAGCTAGCAGACGACACGGGTGCCGGCAAGCGCTTCGCCGGCCACGGGAAATGAGAAAAACAAAAGTTACGTAAAAAAATTGATGGAAGCGGTAGGCGGGGTTCGGCAGGACGGTTCGTAAGGGGAGCCATTCTCAAAACAAAGCTACAAACCTACGCGGAGCAAAAAGAAGAAATACACGTTAAACGAGGGAAAAAAGAAACAAGAAAGTAATCTAAAAGCAGCTCGTCAGACAGATGAGGAGAGCGAACGCAGACACCTATATACATCACGTTGTGAACTCTCTCGCCACGACCCTCTCTCTTAGCTCCCGTGTAAACCACAACTCAATCTTTCGGCGGGGTTATTTAGCGCGGGCGCCTCCCGTCGAAAGGCCGACGACGACCGAAAAGCAGCGAGAAAACCCCACGAGCGCAAAGGCACACAGCCGAGTCGCAAGTAGCACGAAAAGGTGATCTGGTTTGTGTCAGCGGTTTGCTTACTCTGCAGATTCGGACGGAATTCTGTGTGCCAGAAGGCCAAGCAGATTTCAGCCCAGCCCAGACGCTTGTAAAGGTGAAAGCTTCAGATGTCTCATTAACCGCTAAAATCGACCAGCATCCCACGTCGGCGGCGCCAATACGAGTGATGCAAAGAATCGTCACGTCACCGTATGACGTCATCGTCACGCCAGATCACGTGACCCTACATGGCTTCATTGTTTGGTCAAATGTGAGCCGATACCGGGGGCATTGCAAGCCCGCCCGAGAGGCAGAATGTCGGAGTTTCCAATAAGTACACTAGAGGGAACTCTGGCGCTAATGTCCATGGGAGCTGCCAAACATGCCGCGTCAGCCAGCATGAGAATGATAGGTATGCACACAAGTTTGTCTTATTTTCGTTCTTTCGGCTCCGTTTAGCTTCCGCGTGACCTGGAGCCACTTATTCACGAGACGAAAATAAGCAAACGTTGTGCAGTTGCACTTTACCACCTTAACCTTTTTATTTTAGGCTAGCCAATTTCACTCGGGTACCGAAGTTCACGGCTCTCCGTTCCTTTATTCATTGCAAAACCAAAATGCAGCCATAAACAAAACCACAAGTGCGTTACAAGCTAGCAAGAACGAAGACTAGGCGAATCCGTGCACTACTCATCATTCCCACGGTGGTTGAACGATCGCCCATGGTGGTTGAACGAAATGAAGTTGTGACCATCCAAAGCTATCAAGTAAAAGTTCTGTTCTGTTTTGCTGTGGAGAGGCTGAGATCCATATTAATTCGGCTACTCCATATCAATAAGTTCTGCAGCAAAAAAGAGAAAGAGAGAGAGAGAATAATACTGAACAGTACCCCAAAAATTAACAATCCGAAATAATAAAATAAAACATAATAGCACACTGAAACACGTTGAAATACATGCCAGTGCACAGTTTGCTTGCAGCAGTTCACACTGTCATGGTGCCGCAACACAATGCTACGGAGGTTCGCTAAAGTGTGTGTGTGTGTGTGTGTGTGTGTGTGTGTGTGTGTGTGTGTGTGTGTGTGTGTGTGTGTGTGTGTGTGTGTGTGTGTGTGTGTGTGTGTGTGTGTGTGCGCGCGCGCGCTCGTTGGAAACAGAAAGCAAAAAAAAAATTGCGAGAAATCCCTCGCTCACAAGTGCGAAAGAATCATCTTTTATTATTTAGTGCAAATACGCAGCCTTCCGCATACTACGAGGTAAAAATTTGACGCTGGACAAATGCTCGTCAACCCTCCCAGAGGTTGGCTTGTTTGCGATCATTTCAGTAAAAGCAGCAACCTACAACGGTGGTGGCGCCACCTAGTAGCGCGAACACGAGTTTCCACGCCGGGCGCGCCATCATCGCAGGTGGTCAACTTCGTGAACTAGAATCTCCGAAGCCACCCTACGCGCCAAATTTAAATCGACGGCGTGCAGATGACGCGGCGACATTCCCACAAAGCTCGTCAAAAATAGCCGAATAAAAGAACACTTATTCACGTATTCGGCCGCTCCTTCGCACAATCTACTTGTCCAGCTACTCCGAGAATCCTGGGCTCATCCAAGTAAGTTGCACCGCCAGCATGCCAGCTGTTCTTTACGGTCATTTACGCGCTTACTTTTCGGGATCGTGTAGGAGCAAAGGCCGTATTCTGAGTTGTGATCACCACAATCCCTCCTCCCCTTCATTAGCCAAACGATGGCGCCAATCTAGTCATATACATTTTCAAAGTACTACTGGTGACTGTTTATTGTGCAGTCATACTACAAAGCATGTTTTTTTTTGTTTGTTTTTTTGCGATAAAGCAGCCGATTATAGTTACTGTGTTCGATTTCAACAATCGCCGACCTCTCAGCAAGTTTAATCAGCCATAGGAGTTTCCTTACTGTGTAGGGAGATGACTCCGAGCAAATGCGAACCTCTGGAAGTTCTTTAACCTTTTGTGCGACAGTATATGGCATATAAGCCCGCTTCTCCGTCTGCAGGAAAACTTTTCTCTCACGTCACGCGTTGCAATTAGTGCAACGCTATAGGTTATTCATATCTTACCCAGGTCTTCGTAATCTCAAGGAAACCTTTTTTATATTTTTTACTTATATTACAGCAACAGGCCACAGAGGCGACCCTGAAGCCTCACAAGAGGCGACCCTGAAGGTGATCTGCTCAAATGACAGGTCCACACAACAAGCTTTTTCTTCTTTCTTTCTTCACCGTTTTATCCCAAATACATGTTGATGAGACAGAGAAACAGTGCTTTCACAAGTTTTTCAAGGCACTCTCACAAAAGTTTTAGTTTTTTCAGTGAAGTACTGCCTGGACTTTCATTACCTTGGTTTTAAGCTATTTTTCGTAGTATATACGACTAAACCACGGCCGCTTTTTATATCATCAGAACAAAAATTTAGGTGAACCTACGAAAGGATAATGTCGATTTTCCCATGGCTCGCCTACCGACATCGGCACTATAGCTTGACACCAGACTGCCCAATAATGAACCCGGTGACTTGACCCAGCACAGCAGTCTGGCTAGTTTTGATGACGTCAGGTAGAAACACTTCCGGAACTCCCGTCTATACATCACCAACAGGGCTAAGTCTCGGCCGTTTAAAAGTCGCGATATCTTGCGCGAGTGCATGGCGAGAACCTAGAACCTCATACCGTGTTGTGACGTCACAGTCAATAAAAGAATGGAATACATTACCTTCCAGGATTGCTACGATAACAGGGTCTCCTTGTTTATTTCAGAACTGCTCACGTATTTAGAATTATGTAACCTTAACAATTATGCTTTATCCTATGTTTGCTCTTGTACTTATTGCCTTGTTATTACGTTTTATCAATTACTGTACTATAAGAATTATATGAGCCTGCAGTTATTCATTCTCTGTAAAAATTGTATTTATGCCCCTTCTCCTATGCAATGCACCTTGAGGGCCTTCAGAATACTTGAACGAATAAATAAAAATAAATGAAGTATCGTGCAAATTTACTCTATTGTATAAATAAAATAACCTTGTTTTGTAAATATATACACTCCCGTTTGTAATGTCTATTGACCCTGTGGGTAAATAAATAAGTATATTATTATAAGTAAAAGGTTATGGATCTAATCAGTCTTGTGAATCTACGCGAACTGCACCGTAAAACAACCTCAATTTCAACTGTTGAACTCCTTGGCACCCCTCCAGGGCTCGTCCCGCCATCTGTCGAACGACCCGCAAAACGACGCCTCTGCCACGAATGAAAAAAAAGAGAAAAGCGGCATCGCTACTGGAGTCCTTTCTACTTATCGATCCTGGCCCGTAATCTGCCACTTATGCCTCGCTGCCGCTCCTCGGGAGGTGGTGCGGTGCAGCTTATGAAAGGGAAAAAAATAACGAAAAAAGGAAGAGACGGGGACAGCTGGATTCCTCCGCAGCGACCCCACGCGGCGAACGAGCGACGTCGACCGGGAAAATAAAGCGCGCGGAATCCGGAGAACGTTAACACGACCTGACGACCGCGTTCCATCATTCTCCTTTGCGATAACCTTTTCTGAAGTCGAAGCGTTAACTACGACTACCTTGAAGTCATCTTGAATTTGCCTTTGACCCTTTAAAATGGCACCCATGAAGAACTTCCGCTAAATGGGTCAGGTCAAGTCAATACTGCTTTATTTCAAGGCATTCGATATTCTATAGCAACAAAAGTGATGCCTTACTATGTTGATTTACGTTCGTTTTAATACCTACTTACAATTAAATTTTAAATAAATATCCACTGATTAATAAGCCATTCATGTCATGTATTCGCATTAATATAACGAAATCTCAGGCTAGAAATATAATCGATATCCGTTTTCGCTTTCACCCAATACGAGCAAAAAAAAAAAAAGGTATATTTTTCCCGCGGCATCCGCATATCTCATAGGCCGCCATTACAGCGTTTTACAATACGACAGAACTGTCGCAACCCGTCCAGAAAGAAGCGCTACTATAAGCTCTCGCACATGAAAGGAAAAACACATGAGAGGGGGAAAAGCTGCGCAAATAAGGCCTACGGGTTTCGAGAATGTCGTCAGTGCTCTTACCACGTCGGCGGTGTCGAAGCACTCGGGAAACGCGATTCGTCTGCAATGAGCCGCGCATGTTGTAATCGGACGACAAACGAAGCAGAATACCAAAACAGTGAAAAACCATCTTTTTTGTATAGATATTCTTTCAGTCGCCACTGAATGCATTTTGCACTGAAATTTCATACCCAGGCCCATGAGTTAAAGAAAAAAAGAAATAGCCAGCGCAGCTGTTGCCACAATGCGTGCAGGCTTTCCGCCCCTCGAATGCGATCGCCCCATCCTAAGCACCTCAAACCGAGCACGCGTACGGAAATGCTTGCAGCACTGACCCAGGCATAGTTG